CTATGTTGGGGGACCCCCACAGTGCCTGTTTGCAGAGACCATGCTCAGATGCATTGAACCGTGTCCCTGGTCCGGGTATCACAGAAGCGGCAAGACTTGGAGGCCAGAGCAATAGGACAGTGGGGAGGGCAATGGCCTTGCACACGGCCAACCCGGGTTCGATCCCCGCCATCCCAGAGGGTCCCCCGGGCCTACCAGGAGTGATCCCTGAGCAGAGAGTCAGGAGTCAGCCCTGAGCATCACCGGGTGTGGCCCCAAAACCAAAAAAATAAAAGAAGAACCCGTGGGAGCATGACCCCCCCAGAGCAGGCAGGGTGTGCTTCCTGAACACCCCAAGATGCCTCCAATCCCGTCAGCAGTCCTTCTGGAAGGAGAAGGATAAAATAATTCAAAACAAAAATAAAAACACTGGGGCTGGAGCAATAGGATAGCGTGGAGGGCGTTTGCCTTGCATGCGGCCGACCCAAGTTCGATCCCCAGCATCCCACATGGTCCCCCGAGCACCGCCAAGAGTGATTCCTGAGTGCAAAGCCAGGAGTAACCCCTGAGCATCGCCGGGTGTGACCCAAAAAAAAACCCACCAGGGTCCCAGGCCACAGAGTTTGTCTTGTACACAGCCAACCTGGGTTTGATCCCCAACATCCCAGACACCCCATAGGGTCTCCGGAGCAGAGCCAGGAGTGATCCCTGAGCATCGTCAGGTGTGGCCCCCCCAAAAAAACAAACAAGGGCTGGAGAGATAGTATAACCAGAAGGTGCTTGCCCGGCACTCAGCAGACCCAGGTTCGAGGCAGACCCGGGTTCGATCCTCGGCATCTCATAGTTTCCCCCAAGCACTGCCAGGAGTAAGTCCTGAGCACTGACGGAAGAGGTAAAAAATAAAATAATAATAATAATGAAGGTGTTGGGGCTGGAGCAATAGCACAGCGGGTAGGGCGTTTGCCTTGCACGCGGCCGACCCGGGTTCGATTCCCAGCATCCCATATGGTCCCCTGAGCACCGCCAGGGGTAATTCCTGGGCGCAGAGCCAGGAGTAACCCCTGTGCATTGCCCGGTGTGACCCAAAAAGCAAAATAATAATATAATAATAATAATAATAATAACAATGAAGGTGTTTAGGTGTGTCCAGGGCTGAAGAGTTTGGGGTTTCAGGGGCCGCCGAGAAACTGTTAGTGCCATGAAAGCTAGGTCTGCCCGTCTCAAACCGCCTGTCCTGGTTCCGGTACCAGCCTGCTCCCCTGGGAACCACAGTTCTTGTTACTGGGACTGAAAAACCAGAAGCCACAAGCAAATAAAGTTTGATTAAAGACCTCAGAGAGGCCAGAGCCATAGCACAGCGGGGAGGGCACTGGCCTTGCATGCAGTCGACCCAGGTTCGATCACCGGCATCCCATAGGGACCCCTGAGCACTACCATGAACGAATGAATGATTCCTCAGAGCAGAGTGAGGGCTTTTATCCAGGGGAGCACACACTCTCGGCCCCCACATGCTCCCCAAAGCCCCCTCATTCTGCCCCCCGCCTTTTCCCGCTGGGCAGCCTAAGCTACTGTGTGGTAGAAATCCCTAAATTCTCAAATGAATGAAATGGTGCCCACAGCTTCATTTAAATTCAATATATGGGGGCTGGAGCGATAGTACAGGAGGTAGAGCATTTGCTTTGCATGCAGCCGACCTGGGTTCGATTCCCAGCATCCCATGTGGTCCCCTGAGCACCGCCAGGAGTAATTCCTGAGTGCATGAGCCAGGAGGAACCCCTGAGCATCGCCGGGTGTGACCCAAAAAGCCAAATAAATAAATAAATTCAATATATGTTTTTTTTTTATTTGGAACCATACCCAAGCGGTGCTCAGGGCTGACTCCTGGCTCTGGGCTCGGGGGTCCTGGCAGGACTAGGGGACCCTATGGGGGGATCGAACCAGGGGTGGGCACAAGGCAAGTACCTCACCAGCTCTACTGTTTCTCCCACTCACCCCGATTATTTTTTGTTCTTGTAGTTGATTTTGGACCGACGCCAGCAATATTCCGGGGCAACTCCCGGCTCAGTGCTCAGGGGGACCGCCTCCCTGAAAAGTTTGTGTTCAACACTCCGTCTTCTCCCCAACAACTTGTTGTTGTCGTCGTTGTTGTTGTTGCATTTTGGGGACCACACCATGGCTGTATAGGTTCATGACTGACTCCTGGCTCTGTGCTCAGGGATCACTCCTGGCAGGCTCTGGGGACCCTAGAGGATGTCGGGGATCAAACCTGGGACAGTCGCCTCCCCACTGTCCTATCACTCCAACCCCTAAATTAAATTCTTGGTGTATAGAGGGTTTACACTGCACCCAACCAGGCTTGGGGTTGCTCCTGGCTGTACAAGAAAGGGGGTGCAGCATACACTTCCTTCCCAACGATGCTGTGAGTGGGGGACCCTGTGACGCTAAGGATCAAACCCCAACCTTCTACATAAAAAAGCTCAACTCACCCTCTGGACCACCCGACTGACTCCTGGCTCAGTGCTCTGAGATCACTCCTGAGGGGGGGGAGATTACGAGGCCCTATTAGGTGCCAGAGATTAAACCAGGATCAGCAGGCATTTTACCTGCAGAATTGTCCCTCTGACCCCTCTTTTTTTTTTGGGGGGGAAGGATACCCAGCGGTGCTCAGGGATGACTCCTGCCTCCATGCTCTGGGATCACTCCTGGCATGCTGGAGCGGGGTGGTGCTGTGAGGTGCTGGGGATCGAACCTTGGTCAACTGCATACAAGGCAAGCACCCTCCCTGCTGCACTATCGCTCCAGTCCCTCCTTTTATTTTTGCTTTTTGGATCACACCCCGCGATGCTCAGGGGTTACTCCTGACTCTGCACTTAGGAATTACTCCTGGAGGTGCTCGGAGGACCCTATGGGATGCTGGGAATCGAACCCGGGTCGGCTTGCCTGCAAGGCAAATGCCCTACCCACTGTGCTATAGCTCCAGCCCCACCCCAGCCCCTCTTTTTTTTTTTCTTTTTGGGTCACACCCGGCGATGCTCAGGGGTTACTCCTGGCTCATGCACTCAGGAATTACTCCTGGCGGTGCTTGGGGGACCCTATGGGATGCTGGGAATCGAACCTGGGTCGGCCGCGTGCAAGGCAAACGCCCTACCCGCTGTGCTTTTTTTCTTTTTTTCTTTTCCCCAAACTTTCCAGCATACACAACCAATCCCAGTGGCTTGGGTGATCAAACCCGCGGCCAGGGAACGAGGCGACAGAGTCACCTGCCAACGAGCCTGGAGTCCTCTGCACCTCCCTCGCATGGTGACAGTGGACAGAAGTCCTGTGGGGGGGGTCTCTCTGCCGTGCCCCCTAACACCAGCCATTTTATCCATTTTATTTGTCCCAACCAGGTAAACACCAGCTCCTACAGTCCCATCTCCCATCTCCGTGCTACCAAGTCAGTGAAGGGACCCCCACCCATAGGGGCTTTGATGTTGGGCTTGTCCAATTCTTTTTTTCCCTGGGGGGGGGAGGGTATCACACCCAGCGATGCTCAGGGGTTCTACACTCAAATCACTCCATGCTCTGGGGATCCACTGGAATGCCGGGGGGGTTGAACCCGGGTCAGCAGCGTGCAAGGCTAGCGCCCACCCCACTGTCCTATAGCTCTGGGCCCCTGGTTCGTAGGATCTGGGGCCTCATCTTCCTCCTCCTCCTCCTCGTCGTCCTCCTCCTCCTCCACCCAGGGGGCCCCCTCCCAGGGCCACACCCTGCCCGACTCCCCTTGGGCCCCGGAGCTGAGCAGATAAACAAGTGGAAGGGTGGGAGGGGGGGTGGACAGCGCAGACAAGTCTGGGCTCCCGGGAGGAGCCCCGGGTCGTGCTCCCGTGGGGTGGGGATGTGTGTGCGTGTGGAGGGGGGGCGCCCCGGGAAAGCCGCTGGGTCTTTTGTCTGGGTTTCAAAAGCAGACAACTCCGGGGTGTCGCCGGGGGAGGGTGTGGCTGGTCTCGGCGGAAACACCCACAAACGCAGCGCAGAGCAGGGGCGGCCGGCAGGGCGGAGGGGTGGGGGGTGGGGCGGCTGGATCCCCGAGTCGGGCCTGGGCCGGAGCGAGCCGGCAGCAGCCCCCAGGGGGCGGCAGCGAGGGGGAGACCCCCCCAGACTCCCCCTTCTCAACCCTCCACTCCCGGGGCCCCACCTGTGGCAGTGGGGGCGTGGGGGGGCCACCCGCACCCCAGTACTTAAGGGAACGATCCAGACGCACTTATTTTGCACCTGCTGTGTACAAAGTGCGGGCCCCGGCGGCGCTCCAACACCCCAACACCCCACCGCCACCCACACGCGCCCGGGCACCCCCTCGGACCCCGCGCCAGGGGTCCCTGGGACCTCGCCGAGGGTCGCGATCTCGGGGGGGGGGGACACTTGGCACGGGAGGCGCGCGACCACGCGCCCCCCCCCCAGTTCTTCTGCACGGGCTTCGGGTCCCCGGCGGAGACGCACGCGGTCTCCATCCAGCGCAGAGACACGGGTCTGGGGGTCGCGCCCGGGGGTCCGGCGGAGCGTGGGGGGGCGCCCCTGGTGCAGGGGGCCCCCCAGAAAGGCGGACCGAGGCGAGCGGCGAGCCGGCCCGAGCGCGCGTCCCCAGGGCGCCGCCGGCGGGCTGGGCTGGGCTGGGGGCGCCCCTGCGGCCCCGGAGCGCTTTGCAGAGGGGTCGCCCCATCACTCCGGAGCATCCGATTTGGGGGTGGGGGCGCCCACAGGTGGCCAGGAGCCACGGCGCGCTCGGGTGGGCGCGCGCAGGGCGCGGGCGGAGACGCGGCCTCCCGACTCGGGGTCCTCAGCGCGCCCACCCACCCCCACCCCCGCCTTCCACCTCCTCCTCCGGGTCTTCGGGGTCCGCTCGGGGCGAGCTCCTGGGGTCCCCGCGGCCCCTCGCCAGCCCCTCCGTCTGCGCGCGCGGGGGCGGGGGAGGTGGGTGCGGGGCTCACCCCACCCTGGGCGCACCCCGACTCCCCCGCCCCGGCCCGAGCGCGCCTACTCACTCCATCTCCCCGCCGAGGTCCGGGTGGGTCGCAGATGCGGGGCGCGGGGCGCGTGGGTGGGGGTCTCGGGGGGGGCCCCCCGGCGGGGCCTGGGCTTTGGGGGCCACCTAAGGCCTGGCGGCCCGGGCTGCGCTGCGCGGGGGCGCCGGCACCGGCTCGGGCATCGCCCCGCGCGCGGCTGTTTATTGTCCGGGCGGCGGCGGCGCGGGGGGTGGGCTGGGCGCGCGCGTCGCCGCCGCCGCCGCCGCCGCCACCGCGCGGGTCCCGCCGCGTCCCCGCCCGCTCCCCTCCCACCGCCCTGCGCCTCCCGCCGGCCGCGGGGCGCCCCCTGCCGGCCGCCGGCGCCACCGCAGGGCCCCTCCGCCGCCGGGCGCCCCCAGAGCGCCGAGTCACCCCAGATGTCGCGTCCGCGCTTGCCCGGGACCCTGACGGTCCCCTCCTTGCAGCGCGGGGCAGGTGGCGAGGGCGCGAGGGATCCTGAGCTGGGGAAACGCGGGAGGGGCGAGGGGGCGCAGGTATGCAAGGGGGCTCGGGGATGCTCCTGCAAAAAAGCAAAAAAAAGCAAAAAAAAAAAAAAAAAAACAAAGGCCGGGATGTTGGGCCGGCGCGACAGGACAGTCCGGCGGGGAGGGCGTCTGAATTTGCACTCTTCCGACCCGGGTTCGATCCCCGGCCCCCCGCCCCCAGCACCGCCAGGAACGGGTCCTTCCTGAGTGCAGAGCCGGGAGTAACCCCTGAGCATCACCGGGTGTGACCCGAAGATCCAAGAAAAAAAAAGAAAGGCGGGGTGGTGGGGGTGGGTGCGGTGGGGTGCGGTGGGGGTGTGCACCCAGAGAAACTGGTCCAAGCAGGAGTAACAACAGCTCAGCACTGGCCTCCTGCTTGCCTGACCGCCCCACGCTTGGGTGGCCACCGGGTCACAGCTGATTCTCCAGCCGTGGCAGGAGGTGGGTCGGGGAACAGGCCAGTGAGGACACAGGCTTTCTCCTGAGGTCATTCTGGAGCCAGAGAGAGGTGAAGGCAGGAGCAGCAGAGAGGCCAAAGTCTTTGCTCATCAAGTTTCTCCAGGCGCGGCTTGCCTTGCCGGCGGCTGACCTGGGTTCGATCCCCAGCATCCCATGGGGTCACCTGAGCACGCCAGGAGTGATCTCTGAGTGCAGAGCCAGGAGTAACCCCTGATTACCAACAGGGCAACCCTCCCCCCAAATTCCACTATAAACTTCCTCCAGGCCAAATGGGAAGTGGATTAAAGGGGCACAGAAGCTTGGAGGTCAGGGGCTGGAGCACAGCACAGCGGGTAGGGGGTTTGCCTTGCACGCGGCCGACCCAGGTTTGATTCCCGGCATTCCATATGGTCCCCTGAGCACCGCCAGGAATAATTCCTGAGTGCAGAGCCAGGAGTAACCCCGGTCCACAGGTGTGACCCCCCCTCCCCCCCAAAAAAGAAGCATGGAGGTCAGGAACAGGCTAAAAGGTACCCAAGATAGATGCATTGGGGGCTGTGCCAGGGTGAGAAGCAAATGCAGGCTGGGAAAGGGACAAGTGCGGGTCCCTCAGTCTCCAAGTTAAAAGGACACACTGCTGGGGCTGGAGCAATAGCACAGCGGCCTTGCAAGCGGCCGACCCAGGTTCAATTCCCAGCATCCCATCTGGTCCCCTGAGCACCGCCACGAGTAATTCCTGAGTGCAGAGCCAGGAGGAACCCCTGAGCATTGCCGGGTGTGACCCAAAAAAGCAAAAAAAAAAAAATGAAAAAGAAAAAAGGATACACTGCTGCCAAAGACAGGATTGGGGACCTGGAAGAATGTTCAGAGGAGGTGCCAGGCGGAGACAGGAAGGGAGATGGCAGGGTGGACCCTGAACGGGTCCCTCCCTCCCCTCTGATCCCTTGTCTGTCCAGAATCCCTTGTCTTGTATTGCCCGCACACCACTGGGTTCTTTAAGACCATACTGGGGGCGGAGCTGGAGGTGGTGCAGAGGGCTGAGTACTGGGAGCATGGCAGTGGGAGGCCTGGATTCCACCCCCAGCATCTCTTGATCCCCCAAGCATCGAGCTGGGGGTATCCCCCAAGCACTACGAGATATAGGGCCCTCCAGATAAAAAAAAAACAGCAGGTAGGGCATTTGCCCTGCACACCCGGGTTCAATCCCTGGCATCCTATATGTCCCCCTGAGGGGCTGGAGCAATAGCACAGCTGGTAGGGCATTTGCCTTGCACGCGACCGAACCCAGGTTCGATTCCCAGCATCCCATATGGTCCCCTGAGCACCGCCAGGGGTAAGTCCTGAGCGCAGAGCCAGGAGTAACCCCTGTGCATTACCGGGTGTGACCCGAAAAGCAAAACAAAAAAAAACAAAAAAAAATATGTCCCCCTGAGCGCTGCCAGGAGTGATTCCTGAGTACAGAGACAGGGATTTGGCTCTGCAAAAAAAAATAGGGACCGGAGCGATAGGACCGCAGGGAGTGTGTTTGCCTTGCACATGGACATTCAGGTTCAATCCCCAGCATCCAATAGGGAGTGATCCCTGAACACAGAGCCAGGAGTAAACCCAAGGCATCGTCAGGTGTATCCTCCCAAAAATAAAGAAATAAAAACAATAAAGCACACCCTATGGGGCTAGGGTGTAGTTCAAGGGGTACGTCTGTCATGTTCATCTGTCATGCTCCAGGCCCTGAGGTTGAACCCCTGCACCCCAGTACTGCCAGGTGTGACCCTGGCTTAGCAGAGCCATCCTGTCCTGGGCCCCTGAGTCCCACTGGGTGGACCCATAAGAAAAAAAAGTATGTAGGGAGACCAGAGCAATAGTACAGTGGTTAGAGCACTTGACTTGCACGTGACTGACCCGGGTTTGAATCCACATGATCTTCCTCAGTCCTGCCAGGAGTGATCCTTGAGTGCAGAATCAGGAGTAAACCCTGAACACCGCCAGGTGTGACCCCACCCCCCCAAAAAAAAGAGAAAAAAAATCACTATGTCATACTGGAGAGAGCACAGAGATTGGAGACCCGGAAGTTGCCTTGCTGACTGGTTCAAATTTCTGGCACCACATCCTGTCCCCCAAGTACTGCCAGGAGTCATTTGTGTACACAGGAAGAGCACTGTGTACCACACAGCATGACCCCAAACTCCTCAAGTTAAAAAAAGACTAACATTAACAATAATGATAATCATTAAAATAAAATAAAGGCCGCCACCTAGTTTAAAATTTAACTTCAGGAGGCTGGAGTGATAGCACAGCGGGTAGGGCATTTGCCCATATGGTCCTCCGGTCACTGCCAGGAGTAATTCCTGAGTGCAGAGCCAGGAGTAACCCCTGTGCATCACCGGGTGTGACCCAAAAAGCAAAAAAAAAAATTTAACTTCAGCTGTATCAAACAAAAAACAAACAAACACTGTCCTCCCATTGTTCATCGATTTGCTCGAGCGGGCCCAGTAACATATCCATTGTGAGACTTCTTGTTACTGTGATTGGCATATTGAATACGTCACGGGTAGCTTGCCAGGCCCTCCGAGAGGGGCGGAGGAATCGAACCCAGCTCGGCTGGGCTGGCTGCATGCAAGGCAAACGCCCTACCGCTGTGCTATCGCTCCAGCTGTATCACCCTTTTAAAAATTGGGGATTTCAGGGGCTGGAGTGATAGCACAGCGGGTAGGGCGTTTGCCTTGCACGCAGCCAACATGACCAACACAGGTTCGATTCCCAGCACCCCATATGGTCCCCTGAGCACCGCCAGGAGCAATTCCTGAGTGCATGAGCCAGGAGTAACCCCTGAGCATCGGGTGTGACCCAAAAAGCAAAAAAAAAAAAAAGGGGGGGATTTCACAGAGCTCATGGCCTTTGGATGACATTTCAAATTCTATCACACTGATAAACCACATTGGATAGGATATAGCTGCAGGATAGATGGCAAACCAATCTCAATGAACAAAATATAAAACTCAGAAGGCATAACCTATAACAGCATCTTAGTAATCGCTTATACAAGGGCTTAATGGCTCCATGTGAGATACAATAATCTTTCCTAACTTTTTTTTTTTATTGCTTTTTGGGTCACGCCCCGCTATTCACAGGAGTTCCTCCTGGGTCTGAACTAAGGAATTACTCCTGCGGTGCCCAGGGGACCATATGGGATACTGGGAATCGAACCCGGGTCGGCTGTGTGCAAGGCAAACACCCTACCCGCTGTACTATCGCTCCGGCCCCCTACTAACTTTCCTCTAAGGAAACATGTTTTTATCATTCTTTTAGCAAATTATTTATAACAAGCAATATAAAATAAATTATTGAGGGCCTGCTATGGGGCCAGGTTTGAGGGGTGGTTGGGAAAATTGGAGATTGGAATGGTAGTGGAACTGGATTTGGTATATTGAATGTCTGTTACAAATTACCATGAGCAGCTTATAAACACAGTGTTTATATAGTGTGAGGGGAAAATAAAATTTTAAAATAAACAAAATAAAATAAAATTGGGGCTGGTGCAAGAGAACAGCAGGCAGGGCACACAGCCCACCCGGGTCAATCCCTGGTATCCCAGAGGGTCCCCCGAGCACTGCTAAGATTAATTTTATGAGTGCAGAGACAGGAGGAACTCCTGAGCACTGTCAGGTGTCACTCCAAAAGCCAAAAAATAAACAAACAAATAAAATAAAGGGCCACAGAGATAGTACAGCGGGAAGGCCTTTCATTCACCCTGCAACATAGCCGATTCGGGTTCCATCCCCAGAATCCCATATGATTCTCTGAGCCCCACCAGGAATGACACCTGAGCACAGAACCTGGAGCACCGCTGGGATGATCCAAACCCCCAGAAGAAGCTGTTTTCTGGGAAGATGGAGAACATGGCGGTTCAGGAAGGGCCAGGCAGACACTCACCTCCTATGAGAATTGACACCTCCTTAGCCGATCTACTGGCTCGTCTACACAGGAGGAAACTGAGGCAGAGGGAGATTCCACCCCACGGTGGGCTTCAGATGCCCTGGGCCTTGCACACAGAGTCTGCAGAGTCCAGGTTGACTGCGCTTGACTCAGATTTTTGGGACTACTGACCCTGTCAACCTCCACTTCTACTTAAACCAGTGCAGCTACTTTGGGCCACGGATGCACTATTGTTGAGCACCAGCTGCATACCCCAAAGAGGGCTGTGCATGGCTGAGTGACAACTGCATACAAATGCACTCTATGCACTGCTGACTGCCAATCACATACAGAATACACTCAGACTGAACATTATTGGGCGTCAACTGCATACAAATATACTCTGCACTGTTGACTGCCAACTACACACAGAATACACCCAGACTGAACATTATTGAGCGTCAACTGCATACAAATACACTCTGTGCACTGCTGACTGCCAACTGCATACGGAATACACTCAGGTAAAGGTAAAAAGGTAAAGGCCCTCCCGTTATTCGTCGATTTGCTCAAGCGGGCCCAGTAACGTCTCCATTGGAGACTTTGTTGTTACTGTGTCTGGCATATTGAATACATCACAGGGAGCTTGCCAGGCTCTGCCCTGCGGGCGAGATACTCTCGGTAGCTTGCCGGGCTCTCCGAGAGGGGCGGAGGAATCGAACTCGGGTCGGCCATGTTGGCTGCGTGCAAGGCAAACGCCCTACCGCTGTGCTATCGCTCCAGCCCCATTGAGCGTCAACTGCATACAAATACACTCTGTGCACTGCTGACTGCCAACCGCATACAGAATACACTCAGACTGAACATTATTGGGCGTCAACTGCATACATAAACTCAACACTGCTGAGTGTCGACTGCACACATAACTCTGACTGAGAACTGCTGGAGCATCGCTGGGCGTTGCTGAGCGTTGATTGCATACAAAACTCAGCACTGCTGAGTGCCGCCTGAATACATAACTCAGACTGAGCACTGCTGAGCACCGACTGCATACAGAACTCAAACAGCACTGCTAAGTGTCAACTGCATATATAACTCAGACTGAGCACTGCTGAGCGCTACTGCATGCATAACTCAGACGGAGCATTGCTGAGTACTGACTGCATTATATCCCCCACTTCAGGGCTGTGCATTTTTGTTGAACATCGACTACATATGTATTCCACTTGGGCCTGTGTGATGCTGAACACTGACTGCATTCATACCTGTTTGGGGCTGTGCACTGCTGAACGCCGACTGCATGCATACCCTTTGCAGGCTGAGTAGTGCAGAGCACCTAGTGCATCAGTTTCAGGGCTGTGCTCCATTGCTAAGCATCGACTGCAAACATAACCCATTTGGGGCTTGCACTACTGAGCACCGACTGTACATGCTGCTGAGTGCCAGCTGCATACCTGCCCTATTCAGAACTGTGCAGTACTGAGCGCTAACTGCATACATGTACCTACTCAGAACTGTGTATGCAGTACTGAGAGTCAACTTTGTTGGCGGTGCTCAGGGCTTACTCCTGTGCTCAGGAATCACTCCTGGAGGTGCTCCGCTGATCCTGTGTGGTACTGGGGATCAAACCTAGGTCAGCCGCTGGGGCTGGAGCAACAGCACAGCAGGTAGGGCTTTTGCCTTGCACGCGGCCGACCTGAGTTCGATTCCCAGCATCCCATATGGTCCCCTGAGGGCCGCCAGGAGTAATTCCTGAGTGCAGAGCCAGGAATAACCCCTGTGCATTGCCGGGTGACCCAAAAAGGAAAAAAAGAAAACTAGGTCAGCCGCTGGGGTTGGAGCAATAGCAAAGCGGGTAGGGCGTTTGCCTTGCACGAAGCCAACCCAGGTTCGATTCCCAGCATCCCATATGGTCCCCCAAGCACCGCCAGGAGTAATTCCTGAGTGCAGAGCCACGAGTAACCCCTGTGCATCGCTGGGTGTGACCCAAAAAGCCAAAAAAAAAAAACTAAAAAAAAAACAAACCTAGGTCAGCCGCTCGCTAGGCAACAGCATTATCCTCTAAACTATCTCTCCATGGGTTTGAGACACCGCCCCCAACGCCCCCCACCCCTGCCGTGCCACGTGTGCCAAGCCAGACTCCCCTATCTAGACCTCAGTCTGATTCAGTGAAGACTGAACTCCCTCGCAGAGTTTGGTGGTTTGGAACCTCAAAGAACAGTTACTTATTTTGCAACGCATTTTGTCAGTGCTCGCAGGCAGGCAGGAAATGGGGTGGCTCTGGGGTGGGGGTGGCTGTGTGGGCGTGACCACGGCTGCTTCTGGGCGTGGCTCCAAGCAAGTGGGTGTGGCTCTAAGCAAGTGGGTGTGGCTCTGGGTGGAGGAGTTCGCTGGCCCCCTTTTGCCTCGTGGGGCAAACCTGGCCAAGGTATAAAACAAATTCCGTGCCTCAGTATCCCTGCGTGCACGGGGACAGAAGCCATCCTGACATCCTCAGAGGCTCTCACAACTTAAGAGCCTTGATCCAGACTTAAGGCCCCGGAAAACCAGTCCCCAAACAAGGCGGGGAGATAGTAGGAGAAGACCACCCCGTGGTCCAGAGCTGAGGCGAGGGGGGCATCGAGGTCCACTGGAGGCAGGTGGGGCCCCTGAGTTGGGGAAGGTCCCAGATCCACCGGCCCAGTGTCCCCCTAAGAGCTGTCATTAGCGGGGAGGTGGGGGCAGCGGAGGGGGTCTGAGTTTCAGAATGAGGGAGCCTGTGCTGTGGGCTGAGACTGAAGGTAGGACCCCACCCAGGATGCGCGCCAGGAAGAGGCTGGAAATAATTCCCCTAAACCCATGCCCCACCCCATGCACCCAGTGAATGCCTGAGGCTAGTATCAAGAGAGTCTAAGTATGGGACTGGAGCGATAGCACAGTGCGTTTGCCCTGCACGTGGCTGACCCGGGTTTGAATCCCAGCATCCCATTTGGTCCCCTGAGCACCACCAGGAGTAACTCCTGAGTGCATGAGCCCTGTGCAATGCCAGGTATGACCCATAAATAAATTAATTAAATACCCATTTTTATTTTATTTATTTTTTGCTTTTTGGGTCACATCTGGCGATGCGCATGGGTGACTCCTGGCTCTGCACTCAGGAATGACTCCTGGCGGTGCTCAGGGGACCATATGGGATGCTGGGGAACTGAACCTGGGTCGGCCACGTGCAAGGCAAACGCCCTACCCGTTGTGCTATTTCTGCAGTCCCAAATATCTATTTTTAGATAAATAAATTAAAATATGGAGCTGGAGGGATAGTACAGCAGGGAGGGCACGCCCTTGCTGACCTAGGTTTAGTCCCCAGCACCCCATATGGTGCCCTGAGGACACCAGGAGTAATCCCTGAATGCAGAGTTATGTGCAGTTACTGAGCACTGCCAGGTATGGCCTAAAAAAAATAAAATAGAGATGGGAGGAGAGGGAGTATGTTGTTTAGAACTTGAGGTGGGTGCTCCCTTGTGGCAGCAGCTGCAGAATTCCCAGGCATGAGACAAAATTGGGGGTACAGTCTTAGATCACTCATAGCCATTGAGTAGTGACCGGGTGGTTGCAGACACCCTCCCCCTCCCTTCAGTGCTCCTAATGATTAGAGAAAAGCAGCAGTGGCCTGGGGCCTGGAGCGATAGCACAGCGGGTAGGGCGTTTGCCTTGCACGTGGCCGACCCGGGTTCGATTCCCAGCATCCCATATGGTCCCCTGAGCACCGACAGGAGTAACTCCTGAGTGCAGAGCCAGGAGGAACCCCTGTGCATCACCAGGTGTGACCCCAAAAGCAAAAAAAAAAAGGCAGCAGTGGCCTGAACTTCTGCAGGGAGCGGTGGTAGGGAGCTGCCTCTGACCCCACAGTGCCAGGGTGCAGATGGGGAAACTGAGGCTTCAGATAATGACGAAGAAGAACAGGAATGTCCCTCCCCCCTCCCCCCAGGGCAGCTGTGTTCTGGCTTAACTGGGCATTACTGTAAACTCTCTGGATATTGTCGTGGACAGAGACAGGGACACACAGAGCATATCTGGGGTCCCACGGCCCACGCAGACAGTTCTCAGAGCTCCCATGGTCCTCTCACAGGCTTCTGGGAAGCGTGTGCATGGCGGGAGGAGGAGGTTCACAGCCCCAAGGGTGGAACAATCAGATCCCGGAAATACCTGCTCAGGGGGTCAGAGTGAGAGCACAGCTAAGAGGCTGACCCGAGTTCGATCCCCAGCATCCCGTAGGGTCCCCTACCGCCAGGAGTAATTCCCGAGTGCAGAGCCAGGAGGAAGCCCTGAGCATGGCCGGGTGTGACCCCCGCCCCCCAAAGAAAAAGAATGAAATGGCTGCTCGGAACTGGGCGTTGTGGGCGGCCTGCCAGGGCCCCTGACCACAGGCCACACCAGTTCCCCCTTTCCGGCAGTTGTTGGGGGCCTATGTGGACCACGGTCTGCAGATCTGCAGAGCCCGCCGGGACCCGCCAGCCTGCCATGGGTCAGGCTCTCCTGCTTCCAGCTCTCACTGCTGTCCTGATAGTGACCATGAAGCCCCCAGGTGAGGACCCCTGGACCCGCTACCCTATCCTCTCCTGGTAACCGAACCTGGGAAGGTTCCCCCCCTTTTTTTCTTTTTGGGTCACACCTGGCAATGCACAGGGGTTACTCCTGGCTCATGCACTCAGGAATTACTCCTGGCGGTGCTCGGGGGACCCTATGGGATGCTGGGGATCGAACTCGGGTCAGCCTCTTAGCTGTGCTCTCACTCTGACCCCCTGAGCAGGTATTTCCGGGATCTGATTGTTCCACCCTTGGGGCTGTGAACCTCCTCCTCCCGCCATGCACACGCTTCCCAGAAGCCTGTGAGAGGACCATGGGAGCTCTGAGAACTGTCTGCGTGGGCCGTGGGACCCCAGATATGCTCTGTGTGTCCCTGCTGAGAATCGAACCCGGGTCGGCCGCGTGCAAGGCAAATGCCCTCCCCGCTGTGCTATCGCTCCAGCCCCCAGGAAGGCCCCTTTACTCCCTCTCAGCACCATTCATCCGGGTGCCCCACCCAGGACCCCCATCCTGTACCCCCATACAATATCATCCACCTGGACAGCCCCTAGAATGCTGTGACCTGCTAGCCCACCCTGCTGTCCCCACCCCATTCCTCCTGATATTCCCAGGCTTCCCCCCAAGCCTGTCAGACCCCCATACACAGGCCCATCCCAGGACCTCACAGCCAGGAAGATGGGGCTCTCAACTGGGTGCCCCAGGAGACCGCCAGATCCCCAGAATCTCACGCTGCTCCCATCTGGCCTGAACCTCCTCAACCTCAGTTTGTGGGGGCCCCATGGAGCTCAGCTAACAGCTTAGCCAGGCCTGGCCCAGGTTCTCGGGGAGCCAGACCAGCCCCCCCGAAAGAACCTCCCGGCACTGACTTTGCGTCTCCCTCACTCACCCCATCACAACCCCCCTTCTTTCTGCTCTGCTTCTGCCTGCAGGCTGCTGGGGGGCTCGGATCATCGGGGGCCACGAGGTGACACCCCACTCTCGGCCCTACATGGCGTCGGTGCGCTTCCAGGCCCAGCATCACTGCGGGGGCTTCCTGCTGCGCGCCCGCTGGGTCCTCTCGGCTGCCCACTGCTTCCAGGACAGGTGAGGCCCCGCTGCCTGCCCCCCAGTCTGGAGGCGCCTGCACCCCACCCACCTCTGGTACCTCACCCACCTGGGGTACCAGCTCCCCACCCACCCAGGGGTACATGCACCCACCTCATGCACCCCCATCCCATCCACCCCTGCACCCTATCCCATTCACCTCCATAGACCCCTCCCTTGTATTACGTCACCTGTGACCTCTCCCCTCTGTGTACCCCACCCCATAGACTATGGGAGGGATGAACTCCACCGGCCAGCGTCCCAGAAGGGAGGACCAGATTCCAAAACGGTAGCACTGTAGCACTGTCCTCCCGTTGTTCATCGATTTGCTCGAGTGGGCACCAGTAACGCCTCCGTTGTGCGACTTGTTGTTACTGCGTCTGGCATATCGAATACGCCACGGGGAGCTTGCCAGGCTCTGCCGTGCAGGCGGGATACTCTGGGTAGCTTGCCGGGCTCTCCGAGAGGAATGGAGGAATCGAACCCGGGTTGGCCGAGTGCAAGGCAAACGCCCTACCCGCTGTGCTATTGCTCCAGCCCAAAGCAAACAAACAAAAATTGACATAAAATTAAATTAAGCGGAGAGGGGCCCAAGAGATAGTACAGCAGGCAGGGCGCTTGCCTTGCACACAGCGGACCCACATTTGATCCCAGGTACCCCATATGATCCCCCCTCCAGCACTGCCAGGAGCGATCCCTGAGTGCAGAGCCAGAAGGAGCCCTGAGCACAGTCAGGTGTGACCCGAAACCAAAAATAAATGACTAAATGAGACCTGCGAGTAAAGGTCTCTGTTTTTTGTTTTTTTGAGGGGGCACACCTGCTGATGCTCAGGGGTTACTCCTGCCGGTGCTTGGGGAACCCTCTGGGTTGCCAGGATTATACCTGTGTTGGCCGCATGCATGACAGGCCCCCTCCCACTGTCCTAACGCTCCAGCTCCAAGGCCTTCTCCTTCCCTCCCTCCTTCCCTTCCACCTTCTCTCCCTCCCTCCTTCACTCTCTTCTTATCTTCCTTCCTTCCTTCTTTTCTTTAGTTCCTTCTTTCTTTATTTTTTTACTTCCTTTTTATCTTCCCTCTTTCTTTCTTTCTTTCTTTCTTTCTTTCTTTCTTTCTTTCTCTCCTTCCTTCCTTCCTTCCTTCCTTCCTTCCTTCCTTCCTTCCTCTCTCCCTTCCTGGTTTGGGCACACCCAAGGGTGCTCAGGTCCCAGGTCCCCACATGAAGTGCCGTCCATCCCCTCTGTCCCCCATTCTGATTTCTCTGGACCTCGGCTTCTTTTTATCAGCGCTAAACTTGTAACTTTGGGGTGAAAATTATCCTGCATAAATCTAATCATCTCTAGTCTTTTTTTTTTTCTTCTTTTTCTTCTTTTTGGGTCACACCCAGCATTGCACGGGGGTTATTCCTGGCTCATGCACTCAGGAATTACTCCTGGCGGTGCTTAGGGGATCATATGGGATGCTGGGAATTGAACGTGGGTCGGCCACATGCAAGGCTTTTGCCTGGCCCTACCCGCTGTGCTATTGCTCCAGCCTCTTATCTGCTGTCTTGCCTTTGGAGGTAGGGGACATGGGGATCCCCTGAATAGCCCTCTTTCTCAGAGGTGACATCAAGGCCCGTGCCGGGCAACGCTCAGCCCCTCCCTAACATACCCTTCCCCCCGTAGAGACCCCCGCACAGCCCTCGTGGTGCTGGGGGCCCATTCAGTGAGCGTCTCAGAACCCACCCAGCAGGTGTTTAGTGTCGCCAGGGTCATCCGGCACCCCGATTATCAGGCTGCCACGCACGCCAATGACATCTGTCTACTGCAGGTGAGCGAGGGGTGGGGGTGTGTGTGGGGGGGTGACACTGTCCCTTTAACCCACAAGTCAGTCACTGGGACCCCCAGCACCAAAGCATTGAGCTCATCTAGCCCTGTGGGCTGAATGTCACCAGCAATGGTCCCCCCCACAGCGGGTAAAGCATGTGCCTTGAATGTGGTGGACCTGGACTCCATTTCCGACGCCACATGGGGCTCCCAGCACGGTCAAGAGTGGGTCCTCAGTGCTGATGGCTTGGCCCAGGTGTCACTCCTGAGCACACAGCCAGGAGTCACCCCTGAGCACCACCAAAATAAAGTGTGACTGGGGACCAAGGAGCTCGCTCAAAGGGCCAGAGTGTACGATTTGCATGTCAGAGCCCCGAGTTTCATCCCCAACACCTCATGGTCCCCTGAATGCCAGCTTGAGTGTTCAGAAATAAAGCTTCTCGGGGCTGGAGCGATAGCACAGCGGGGAGGGCGTTTGTCTTGCACGTGGCTGACCCAGGTTCGATTCCCAGCATCCCATACGGTCCCCCGAGCACTGCCAGGAATAACTTCTGAGTGCATGAGCCAGGAGTAATCCCTGTGCATCGCCAGGTGTGACCCAAAAAGCAAATTAATAAATAATAAATAACAAATAAATAAAGCTACTCGTGGGTCAGAGAGATAGGATAGTAGGGAGGGCACTTGCCTGGCACACAGCCAATCCAGATTCAATCTCCAACACTCCATAGGGTTCCTTGAGTCCCACCAAGAGTTATTCCTGAGCCCAAAGCCAGGAATAAGCCCTGAGCACCTATGGAGGTGACTCCAAGACCAAAATTAAGAACTATATTTATTTTGGGGTCTGAGAGATTGTACAAAGGTTAAGACATTTGCTTTGGGGCTGGAGCGATAGCACAGCGGGTAGGGCATTCGCCTTGCACGTTGGCCAACCTGGGTTTAATTCCCAGCATCCCATATGGTCCCCCATGCACCACTAGGAGTAATTCCTGAGTGCATGAGCCAGGAGTAACCCCTGAGCATAGCTGGGTGTGACCCAAAATTTAAAAAAAAAAGACATTTGCTTTATCTTGCATTCCGACGAAATTCAATCTCCAGCATCGTTCAGGGTCCCCTAAACCCCAAACCCCACCAGGAGTAAGTCCTGAGCACATCTGGATGTGGCCCCCAAAATAAAAAAAAAAAAGGACGTTCTGGGGCTGGAGCAATAGTACAGTGGGTAGGGCATTTGCCTTGCACGCAGCCGACCCAGGTTCGATTCCCAGCATCCCATATGGTCCACTGAGCACCGCCAGGAGTGATTCCTGAGTGCAAAGCCAGGAGTAACCCCTGAGCATCGCCGTGTGTGACCCAAAAAGCAAAAGAGCAAAAAATAAATAAAATAAAATAAATAAATAAAAGAAGGTTGCCCATAGCTTATTTAAAAAAAAAAAAAGGAGGACATTCTGGGACCCCAGCAATAGTACAGCGGAGAGGGCATTTGCCTAGCAAGCACACAGCTGATCGAGGGTTCGATCACCGACATGCCATAGGGTCCCCTGAACCCACCAGGAGTGATCCCTGACTGCAGAGCCAGGAATAACTCCTGAACATCTCTGGGTGTGAACCTTAAAGACCAAAAAAAAAAAAAAAAAGGGAGGGGGGGGCAAGTAGGATCTTCTGAAAGACTAATTTCCAAAAGAAACCAGGTGGGGAAACTGAGGCAGGAGGGGGGAGGATGTTGAAGTCAGTTCCCTTTCTGCAGCTCAACAGCTCGGCCACCCTGGGCCGGGCAGTGGGGCTCCTGGGATTGCCCCGGAGAAGCAGCAGACCCCCGCAGCCCGGGACACAGTGCCACGTGGACGGCTGGGGCTACGTGACCGACTTCGAGGAGCCGCCGCCCGGGCTGATGGAGGCCGGGGTCCGCGTGCTGCGCCCCGACGCCTGCAACCGCTCCTGGACCGGCCAGCTGAGAGCCTCTATGCTGTGCGCCTCCAGCCCGGACCGCCGGCGGCGCGGCTTCTGCTCGGTGAGCCGCTCCCGGTGTGGGGGGACCCCAGCCAGGCCGAGTCTGAAGAATCAAGTTCCAGCTCGCCCGAGGCCAGAGGACTGACCACCCAGGGCAGGGCCAGGCCAGGTCTGCAGAGCTGCTGCTGTCGGGGCAACTCAGGGGCGCACGTTGGTGTGTTTATACCAGCAGTGGCCGGGAGGGGGCAGTAGCGGGTCTCTAGGAAGCGGCCACTGTTGTAAGACCGTCCGGTCAAGTTCCATCCCTGGCCCTGGGGGGAGAGAAATTACTTGGGGGTGGGGGTGGTAATGTCTTGCTCAGGCTGAGAGCACAAGGATTCTGAATTATAGATTTGGCGACTGGAGTGATAGGTCAGCGGGGAGGGTGTTTGCATTACACGGGGCCAACCAAAACAAAACAAGCACAAAAAAAAAAAAAACAAAAAACAGGGCCAGGGAGAACGTTTGCCTTGCACGCCGCCAACCTGGGTTCAATTCCCGCCATCCCATATGGTCCCCTGAGCACCGCCAGGAGTGATTCCCAAGTGCAGAGCCAGGAGTAACCCCTGAGCATCGCCGGGTGTGGCCCCAAAACCCAAAAAGAAAAAAGTTTTAAAAAAATTTAAAAAAAGGAAGAGAAGGAGGAGAAGGAGGGCTGGAGAGATTGTTCAGGATTGACTCTTACCTTGCTCTTGGCTGACCCCAGTTCAATTCCTGGCACTAAACAGAGGCCCTGAGCAGCACCAAGAAGGAATGCGAGGGTTCAGAGACCATCTCAGGGTGCAGTGTTCAGTTGTCTGAGTTGTGCATTGAACGGAACACCACCCTTTATTCTCTCTCCCACTTCCTTTCATTGCTTTGTTTTGGGGCCACACCCAGCAGTGCTCAGGGCTGAGCACACCCAGCAGTGCTCAGGGCTGGCTTTGCACTCAGGGATCACTCCTAGTAGTACTGGGGGACTCTGTGGGTGCTGGGGATTGAACCCAGGTCAGCCGCATGCAAGGCAAGAACCCTCCTCACTGTTCTATCATTCCACACCCCCCTCCCCCGACACATGCTTATCTGTGGTGCTGACTGGGGGAGTGAGTTGCACACAAATTGGTGCTTGTAAACTCAGCCATGGTGCTCGGTGAGGTTTTCACTCTTTTTTTTTTTTTGTCTCAGTGTTCACATACACATACTTCCTAGGGAGTTTTTCCCTGGGCCTCTAGTGGGACCAGAAATTGCTTGCAGCACTGGGGTTGACAGAGGGATTGCCATGATTGTGCTGGAAGCATGTGGGACGCTGGGGATTTGGACTCATAACCGTATGCTTGAGAGGCAGGGATGTGCTGTTCTTCCAGGCTCCCCTCTGTTGGTTTGCAGCGTCTGGGAGAGAGCAGTACTTGGTCCTTCTTTTTTTTTTTTTTTTTTTTTTTTTTACTTTTTGAGTCACGGGGCTGGAGCAATAGCACAGCGGTAGGGCGTTTGCCTTGCACACAGCCAATATGGCTGACCAGGGTTCGATTCCTCCACCCCTCTCGGAGAGCCCGGCAAGCTACTGAGAGTAACTCGCCCGCACGGCAAAGCCTGGCAAGCTCCCCGTGACGTATTCGCTATGCCAAACACAGTAACAAGTGTCACAATGGAGACATTACTGGGCCCGCTCGAGCAAATCGATGAACAACGGGAGGACCGTGACCGTGACCGTTTTTGAGTCACATCCAGTGATGCACGGGGGTTACTCCTGGCTCATGCACTCAGGAATTACTCCTGGAAGTGTTTGGGGGATCATATGAGATGCCAGGGATCCAGCCCACGTTGACCTCATGCAAGGCAAATGCCCCACCCGCTGTATTATCACTCTGGCCCCAGTAACTGATCTTTTTTTTTTTTTTGGTCATACCTAGTGATGCATAGGGGTTACGCCTGGCTCTGCATTCAGGAATTACTCCTGGCGGTGCTCAGGGGACCATATGGGATGGCGGGAATTGAACCCAGGTTGGCGGCGTGCAAGGCAAATGCCCTATCTGCTGTGCTATCGCTCCAGCCCCCCAGTAACTGGTCTTGAGGCTAAGCAAAGAGGCTAGAAAGCAGATCAAGCCTTTTTTGAAATGTTTTATTTTATTTTTATAAAGTCATTCACAATAATTCTTTGCATTCAATATTCCAACACCAATCCCACCACGAACATTTTTATTTATTTATTTTAAGTCTGCATTTTTGTTTCTGTTTTTGTGAGTGTGTTGCTTTGTTTTGTTTTGTTTTCTTGCTTTTTGGGTCACACCCGATGATGCTCAGGGGTTACTCCTGGCTCTGCACTCAGGAATCACTCTTGGCGGTGCTTGGGGGACCATATGGGATGCTGGGAATCGAACCCGGGTCGGCCGCGTGGAAGGCAAACACCCTCTCCGCTGTGCTATCACTCCAGCCCCATTGTGAATGTATTTTGGGCCACACTTGAGGCGGTGAAGGACCCACTTCTGGCTCTGCTCTTAGGGATCACTGCTGGTAGAGCTCAGGGACCATATGTGATGTCGGGAATTGAACCTGGGCCGGCTGCTTGCAAGGCAAGTGCACTGCTCCAGCCCCAGATCCAACTTTTTTTTTTTTTCCCTGAACTGTGAGGAGTGAGTTTGTGTGTTTGGAGGCAGCTGGGCAGACAGATAAATCCTGAGCATCTAGAGTTTAGTCTGTGCAGCAGAAGCGCTAGGGAGCCCTGGAGACTTCTGAGTTGGGAAGGTCCATATTATAGCAGCTTCTTCTTCTTTTTTTTTTGGGGGGGGGTCACAACCACCTACACTCAGGGGTTACTCCTGGCTCTGCACTCAGGAATTACTCCTGGCACTGCTTGGGGGACCATATGGGATGCCGGGGATTGAACCGGGATCTTCCACATGCAAGGCAAATGCCCTGCCCGCTGTGCTGTCGCTCCGGCCCCCATCTAGCAGCTTCTTTAGGGAAACTGCCCTCCGGAGAGGGACTGCCCTGATTAACCCCTTCCTGCATTCCCTCCAGGGAGATTCCGGTGGGCCCCTCGTGTGCAGGAACCGTGCCCAAGGTATCGTGTCCTTCTCCGGACTCTGGTGCGGCGATCCCAAGAAGCCTGATGTGTACACGCAGGTGTCGGCCTTTGTGACCTGGATCTGGGATGTGGTTCGGAGGGGCGCATGAGGCTGCCAGCCAAACTCAGGGTACAGGAAGTTGGGCTTCTGTTGATCAACTTGGCTGGCACACCCATGAGATGCAAATAATCCGGTTTAGACAATTCCACAGCTTGGGCAGGGCTTGACTGCTCCCAACCCCTAGGAAGCCTGGTGTGCGTGTGTGTGTGTGTGTGTGTGTTTGTGAGTGTGTGCGTGTGCATGTATATATGTGTGTGTGTGTGTGTAGCAGGGCACACAATAATAAAATTGACCAAATAAAATGAACCTAAAGGACCCAGTGAAGTGACGAATCAGAGTTGGCGATCAACTTGCTCACATTCTTCTGCGCTCCGCCCCCGCGTGGGAAGGGGTCCAGCGGGTCAGGACACACTCAGGATCTCATAAAACACCCTGTGTAGACGCAAACACATCACACTTTTTTTTGCCTGTTTTCGGAGCCCCGCGTCCAGTTAACCACACCCCCTAGGTTGGAGAAGGCGTGGTCAGAAGAAGGGGGTGGGGTCTCAGGTGCGCTCTCTGATTGGCCAAGCTCCGAGTGGGCGTGGCCACAGCGGATGACCTTTATTTTGTACCCAATCTGTCTGCCCCCGGCCTCTTGTTCTGAAACCCTGAAGCTAGGGTTTCTTGGTGCTACCGTTGGCCATCTGGACCCCATAAGTGCCCTGAACTTCTTTCTCCTCTCCTGACTGCTGCCTAATGTCCAAAGGCCGGCGGCGGTAGCCTGAAGCACATACACCCACATTTGTACCCCTGGGGTGCTTAGAGCCCCCCACTCACCAACCGCCCTCACAGCATCCAAGCTACAGAATAGTCACCCGACAAAGAGAGACTCGGGGAGAGACAGACAGGTAGACACCCCAAAGAGGTATTTTGAAATGTCTTTATTTTTTTGGTGAGGCAGGACCCCAGGCTAGGGGTGAGGTGACTTGTTTGGGGAGGGGAAACTTTGAAGATTTTCCCCCTCTTAAGGCACTTTTCTGAATATCATAGGTAAGGCACTGTTTTGTTTTGTTTGGGCAGTGTGGCCCTGCCCAGGGCTCACTCCTGGACAGGGCGCCGGGGACTCTATGCGGAGCTGGGGATTGAACCTGGGTCAGCCATCTGCAAAGCAAGCACCCTCCCCCCACCCCTGTGCTAAGGCTCCAGTTCCAATGTAAGGCACTTTTTGGAGTCTGGGAATGGGTAACACTGTCGCTGTTATTCCCCTCAGCCCAAACTCTGGGGAACTGGGTCCCTCCCCCACATGGCCCTCAAATCTGGATGGGCCTCTGTTCTGCACACAGGCTGAACACTGAAACATGACTGGGGCTGGCATCCTGAGCCGGGATGGAGGGTGAGGCGGATTCTGGGTGCTGAATCTAGAGGGGGCAAGGACTAGGGGCTGCTTGAGACCAAAGGGTCCTGTGTCTGGATGTCACCTGGGGACGGGCGGCAAGGCAATCATTCAGTTTCCACTCAGTTGGGTCCTAGTGCCCACACCCAGCCCCCACGCCAGTGGGTGAGTCATGAGTGGGCAGGACTGGTGGGCAGACAGCTACTGACTGGCCCCTATTCATCCAGGCTGGGTCATGTGACACAGCTGGCACCCCCAAATGAGGAAACAAGCTGGTTATCTCTAGGGGGCCTTTGGGGGGGAAATAGAGGCAACCTGGAGTTTTGGGCTGGCAGGGGGGCAGTTTTCTAGGCTTATGAGGGTGTGCTCTGAGACTCATCCAGGCTGAGTGCCCCCGTCAGCCCCTGGCCTATATCCAAGGTCCCTGTTCTAGAGGCATCTTCATCGATGAATCTGGAGGGGGCCCCCAGTTCTTGGCAGTTAATAGGGAGACGAGTGGAATTTTCCAGGGTTCCTGGATATCAGGCTCACTGCTCACCGCTCTATTCCCCAACCCCCGCGACGGAAATCCTTCCAAGATAACCCCAAGTTCTCTGGGTCCAGATTTTAGGGACGTGTCCGTGGGACATAAATTAGACTCTGCTGTGGCAATAAATAAAACCAGGAGATCTGGAACGCCAGGGCGGCCCCGGAGCTCACACGAAATTCTCCTCTTCCTCCGACTCGGTATCCGGCCGTTCAGGGGTGCCTGCAAGAGCAGGAGGGACAAGAATAGATGTTGAGGGAAGGGGACGGGAGAGAGCCACGGGGCTGGATCACCCGCGGCTGTCCAACCCACCCCATTGCCATTCACCCCTCCGCTCCCCCACCGCGCACCTGCGCAGCTGCCTGGATGGCGCACGCCAATGGAGCGGCCGAGAAAGCACGTGGCCTGGCGGAGGTGGCAGGAAGACAGGTAGGTGACGTTGTTGTTGCCACAGAGCTCCTGGCCAGGACTGGCGGGCGCAGGGCAGGGCGCTGAGCGACACACTACGCAGTGGGCGCTGCCCGTCTGGTCCACCACGCAGGACTGTGGTCGCTGACACACGACCTGTGCGCAGGATTCTGAGGGTGGCAGGGTGGAGGGTCAGACCACACCCACTCCTCCACGCCCCGCCCACCGCTGCAAGCCCCACCCACTGCTCTATGCCCCGCCCCACAAGCCAAACTTCACCCACTAGCCTAAATCCCCGCCCACCGGGCAAGCCCCACCCACTGCTCTACGCCCCGCCCACCGAGCAAGCCCCACCCACTGCTCTATGCCCCGCCCCACAAGCCAAACTTCACCCACTAGCCCAAATCCCCGCCCACCGCACAAGCCCCACCCACTGCTCTACGCCCCGCCCCACAAGCCAAACTCCACCCACTGGTCCAAAGCCCCGCCCACCACTTGACAGCCACTTTCAAGTCCCACCCCAGTTTCAACCTCCAACTTCACCGGTCCAATTCTGATCCCGCCCACCCCTTCCCGCTCCAGTTTCACCCACCAGCTCCAAGTTCCCCAGTTACCACCTCCAGTCTTTAAGTTCACCTTCGCTTCCAGTGCACTCAAGCCTCCCCCCAGCTCCATCCACATCCTCACCTCCAACCCAACCCCAAGAAGCCTGATCCCAGGGGCTGGAGTGATAGTACAGCGGGTAGGGCGTTTGCCTTGCATGCGGCTGATCCGGGTTCGATTTCCAGCATCCCATATGGTCCCCTGAGCACCGCCAGGAGTAATTCCTGAGTGCATGAGCCAGGAGTACCCCGTGCATTGCCAGGTGTGACCCAAAAAGCAAAGCAAAGAAACCTGGTCCCATTACAACTTTATTTATTTGTGGTTTTGAAGCCACACCCAGAGGGGTACTCAGGGGCTTCCTCCTGGCACCGCACTCGGGATCACTCCTAGTGGTGTGGGAGGGGATCATATGGGATGCCAAGGACTGCAGCAAGGGAAGCGCCTTTTACAGCTGTCCTGTCCCTACAGAGCCCTAGTCCAATTTTTTTTTTTTTTTTGCTTTTTGGGTCACACCCGGCAATGCACAGGGGTTACTCCTGGCTCTGCACTCAGGAGTTACTCCTGGCGGTGCTCAGGGGACTATATGGGATGCTGGGAATCGAACCCGGGTTGGCCGCGTGCAAGGCAAATGCCCTACCCGCTGTGTTAACGCTCCAGCCCCAATTTTTATCATTTTCGTTTTGTTTTGTGAGACCGTCCCGAAGGTGCTCAAGGCTTCTTTCTGACTCTGTGCTCAGAGAGTGATTATTCCTGCTGGGTCAGGGGAACCATATGGGGTACTGGGAATAGAATTCTGGTCAGCTAACTGCAAGGGAAACCCACTATCCACTGTATTATTTCTCTGCACCTCCCCTCCCATTCTATTTTGCTTTTGATTTTTGGGATCCAAACCGGCTGTGCTCGAGGATTACTCCTGGCTCTGAGTTCAGGGATCACTCCTGGTGGGATTTGAAGGATCCTATGAGATAGTGGGAATCTAACGCTGGTCAGCCTCCTACAAGCCAAGGGCCCTATCCCCTGTACTTCCTCTCCAGCCCTCCCATTCTTTTTAAACACAAGCTTCACCTCTCTGAGCCCCCACAATTCGCTCCAGCCACGTCCCCGCCCCCTCCAGACCACAATTCCTTTCCACTCTCAAATCCAGTCTCTACTGCACCATAAGCCTCACCCATCCTTATCTCTCACCCCTTGTGAACTCCAGAATTCCCCACAATTAGAAAATTACCAGTCTACTTTTCCTCCTTCCTAGCCCACAAAAGATTCTTTTCAATCCACCCCACCTACACCTACAAAAGACCGTTGTCCAATCCGCATCTGAGCCAGGAAGTCCCGCCTTTTATGTCAAAGGCCTGTTTTCACGTTTTCTGTGCACTAACCCTAGTCTCTCTCTTTTTCTTTTTTTGGTTTTTGGGGTCACCCCCGGAGGGGCTCAGGGCTGATTTCTGGCTCTGTGATCAGGGATCACTCCTAGAGGGGCTAAGAGGATCCGATGGAATGCCGGGGACCAAACTCAGGGCGGCAGCTTGAAAGGCAATCGATTCACCTTTAGTACTATCTAAAGGTAAAAGATAAAGGCCCTCCCGTTGGTCGTCGATTTGCTCGAGCGGGCCCAGTAACGTCTCCATTGGAGACTTTGTTGTTACTGTGTCTGGCATATCGAATACTCTCGGTAGCTTGCCGGGCTCTCCGAGAGGGGCGGAGGAATCGAACTCGGGTCGGCCATGTTGGCCGCTTGTAAGGCGAACGCCCTACCGCTGTGCTATCGCTCTGGGTCCCTCAATTTACCCTCCCACGAACCCCCGCCCCGCCTCTGCTTCCCATGAAGCCCCGCCCCATAGTGGGGCTTGACCAATACTAGACGCGCAGGTGACTCCACCCACTCACAGTCCCCGCCTTTCACCTGACTCCGCCCCACGCTGCTTAGCAGCGAACCTGGTTCCTGACTCGCTGGTTCGGGGAAGCCCCGCCCCTGTCTCGAGCCCCGCCCCCACCAGCCCTGGCCCCGCCCCACTCCCCCCAGCATGCAGCTGCAACCCTGGTTCTTGATAGGTTGAGCCAGATAGCCCCGCCCCAAAGGCCCCGCCCCTCCCGCTAGCCCCACCCTCCGGCCCCGCCCCACGTACTGCGGCAGCGGCCCCGGTACATGACACGCAGGTCCGGGTGGCCTCGGCAGCGCGCGGCGCGCAGCTCGCACTCGTCGCGGTAGGTGGCGCCGTCGGAGCCGCAGACCTGCAGGCGCGACTGGAGCCCCGCGCAGTCGGGCGCGCACTCGCAGCGGGGGCGGCCCCCCAGCATGCGGCAGGCCTTGCCCGGGCCGCACTCCACGCCGTCGCACGACTCTGCGGACACAGGACGCGCGTGTGGGCCACCGGTTTCCAAGGGTGGACGCGGGGGAGGGGCGGTCCAGCCTTAGCATCCAGGACCCCCCACTCGCCCCCGCCCCCGTCCTGGATCGAGGGTCTGTCTGGTCCGGGGCGCACGGGGGGGGGGGGTGCGGGAGGATGGCAGGGGGGGGCTTGCTCGGAATCTGTTTGGTTTTTTTCTTTTGCGGGGGTGGGGGGCGTTGGGGTGTGATTCCCGGAACCCCCGGGAGTCAAGTCGAGTCTGCGCGGGGCCTGGGCTCTGCGTGCCGGTGGCGGGAGGGGCTCAGGCAGGAATCTCCGGCCTCCAGTCCCTGGCCCTGCTCTGGTCCGCAGCTGGTCCTCGGGCTCTGGCTCGGTCCATCTCTGATTTACGCGTGTTTGGGGGAAGGCTGAGTCAGCCCGGGGATGGGGTGGGAGGGAGGGGTAAGGGACTGCTGGGGTCCACCCAGCCAGGCGCGGGTCTGGGGCATCTTTCCCGAGGCTGCCAGGACCTCCCTGGAGAAGGCACTGGGGATGGAGGGGGCTGCCTTGGTCCCCAGCCCTCCGATCTGGGGGATCTTCCCACCCACTTTGCCCTTCCCATTGGGTCTCTCTCAGGTGGGAAAACAGAGCTGGCTGGGGGAAGACCCCTTGTGAGGGGTCCCTGCCTCACTCAGGCCAGGCCCTGTGCATTCATATTTTTTTTTGCTTTTTGGGTCACACCCGGCAATGCCCGGGGGTTATTCCTGGCTCTGCACTCAGGAATCACTCCTCATGGTGCTCAGGGGACCATGTGGGATGCTGGGAATCGAACCCAGGTTGGCCGTGTGCAAGGCAAACAAACGCCCTACCTGCTGTGCTATTGCTCCAGCCCCAGGCCCCTGTCCATTCAGATCAGAACCAACCCCCCACCCCACCCCCCTCTTCATCCATCCCCGGTGCTTTCCCCAAGGGTGCATCACAGCTGTGAGTGGAGAAAAATGTGGAAAAAGAAAAAAATTCCAAGCCAGGCCCAGATGGGAAACTCCCCCCACCTCCAGTTTTGCTGCTTGAAGGGGGATCTGCTTCTTGAGTTTACTGCCCGGCCTCAGTTTCCCCGGGTGGAAAGGACAACTTCCCCCAGGGAGGGAGATGTTCCTAAGAGCATGTTCGTGTTACCCATTAGCTGGCCGTCTGCCCCGCCCCCCTGCCCCCCACCCCACCCTGGCCCATTACCCTGCTGGGACATGTGGGCCGCACCTGGGTAACTCCCACACATGCACCCACAAGCACATCCGGAAACCGTCTTGGGTGGCTTATGTGCAAATAGGAACGGAAGTGGGGGGGGCGCACTGAGTTCCCACCCAAGGCCAGATGAGGTGTGTGTGTGTGTGTGTGTCTGTGTGTGTGTGTCTGTATGTCTGTGTATATGAGTGTGCTCTTGGATGTTCGAGGTTGGGGTTGGGGACAACTTGTCTATATGTGCTGCCAGAAACCAAGACCCCCAGGCTAGATGGATTTGGCATTTTTTACCTCCCAGAGGCCAGAGGGGCTTGGGGGGGGGGGCACCGACCTGCTCACCTGCGGGGATCCCATTCGGGATAAAATTCCCCATGCCTTGACCACGTGGTGAACTCCTACACATCCCTCAACACCCTAGCTCCAATGCCCGCCTCTTTGAATCATGTTCTGGTGCTCCCTGACTCAGCTCCTGCATATTCAGTCCTGACTGGGAGGACTTGGGAGAGCCCATCTTCTCTTCTACCACCCTCTCCCACCCCCCAGGGCAGAGATGACACCTCCATTCATTCACCGTGTTAGCCCTCAAGGTGCTGCTAGTCTGAAGGAGGATACACATTTCTCAACAGGGAGCCAGAGTCCTGAAACCCGGGGGCTAGAGGGCAAATAAGGACAGCTGGGAACACTGATTGTGGGGGTCACAACCAGAAAGACTGGGTGGAAAAACATCCAGGAAATTGGCTGGGAGCCCAAATGTTCTACCAGTCAGGGTTCAGGGCTCCCCTAAACCCCCATCAGGGCTCTCCTACACCCCCACTCCTTCCCCTTCTTGGAGGCTGAGGTCCTTCCCACAGCTGCTGGTGGCAGAGACCTATGCCCCCACCCTTGCCCCAGACCCCCAGACGGGGGCAATCCACTAACACCCCCTACCCCCTTACCTTTGCAGGGGAGGCAGTGAACCAACCCCAGGAAGCCCAGGAGACTGATCTTGTTCCCGGGATGCGTAAAGTTGGACCAGGCGGTGTCCACGTTGCCGGACGCGCAGCACTCGGCCTGACTGATGTCTGTCTTCAGCACCAGGCTGCACGTGGCCTCACGGCCTTGCTGGAGCCAGCACACACCACCTGAGGGGTGACGCGGGCAGTTCCTAGGGAGCCTACCTGGGCCAAGGCCTTCCCTTCCCTCAGCCCAACCCTCCTCCTGAAGGATGCATACGAATGGTTCTCACTGATGACAGAGGGGCGGAGCACGCAACAGGACTGCAGCAAAGAGGGCTCTTGCCTTGCACGCGACTGACCCGAGTTCGGTTCCCCTTATCCCATAGTTCTCCTGAGCCCACCAGGAGAGATCCCTGAGTGCAGAGCCAGGAGTCAGCCCTGAGCTTCGCCAGGTGTGTCCCCAAAGCAAAAAACAACGACAGGGGCTGGAGCGATAGCACAGCGGGTAGGGTGTTTGCCTTGCACGCGGCTGACCCAGGTTCGATTCCCAACATCCCATAGCGTCCCCCAAGCACCACCAGGAGTAATTCCTGAGTGCAAAGCCAGGAGTAACCCCTGTGCATCGCCGGGTGTGACCCAAAAAAGCCAAAATAATAATAATAATAATAATAATAGTACCACATGACACCCCCCCCCAACCTGGGACAGACCTAAACAGGTTGTGCTTTCTCAAGTTCTTTTGGGGACCCCACCTTTCTGGATTGTTGTGTTTTGGGGCCACACCTGGCAATGCTCAGGGGTTACTCCTGGCTCTTCACTCAAATCACTCCTGGAGGTGCTCCAGGGACTCTATGGGGTGCCGAGGATCGAACCCGGGTCAGCCGTGTGCAAGGTAAGAGTCCTCCCCAATGTACTATGGTTCCGGCCCCAGGGATCTCTCCTTTCTAAACACCCACTGGCCCCCACCAACACCCCCAGTTTGTGACACTCTGACTTGCTCCACCTCCACAACCCCCCCCACGCACACACTGTCTGTACACATGTGTGCACACATGCACACACACACACACAACACACACATACACTTTGGCTTCTTTTCCTTTTCGATTTTGAGTCACATCCAGCTGTGCTCAGGGCTGACTCCTGTGACTCAGGGGACCCTAAGGGGTGCCGGGGTTCGAACCCGGGTCAGCTGCGTGCAAGGCGAGAGCCCTCCCTGCTGTCTCTCCCATGGCTTGGGCCCCCCTGGGGCTGGCTCCCCACCTGACCACAGGCACTGCGGAGCGTTCAGGGCACAGAGTTGCTGGGGCCCTGGGAGCTGCCCGCCTCTGCCCTGTCTAGACAGCACCCGAGGGCACGCGAACCCCGCTGCCTGGCAGCCCCCCCCCTTCGCCCCGCCGCCTCTTACTCACTCCAACTTGGGAACATTCCCCTGCCATGAGCTCACCGTCTCCCCGGGGACGCGGCCTTCGGGGAGGGGGCTCGCTCTCCCCTTGGTGCAAAGCTGGGTGGGGGGCCCAGGGGGGCGAAGCAAGAGGACCCCCTATTTCTTCGCCTTTAACTGGGGCGCCGGGATGGCCCTGGGAGCACCCTCTGGTTCCCTCACCCTGTGCCCTGCGCCTGCCATCAGGAGGCCCAGCGCCGGGGACCCGGGGCCTCGGCACTCCATCTTCTAAAAGGAGAAACTGAGGCAATCCCTGGTGCGCCCCGCCCAAGGGGTGAGTGGCGGCTCCCCAAGACTTTTCTGGTGTGGGTGCAGCCACCCAGAGGGTTGGGGGTTCAAATCCTGGCTTCGCCGCTAGCAGACCCAGCACCCCGTGCCTCAGTTTCCCCAGCTGGAAACTAGCAAGGTGAGCGTCTGCATCCCCCCACCCCCTGGGTGGGTGGGATTCAGGGCCCCCCTCGGGCTGTCGGCTGCCTGGGGCTGGGGGCCGGCGGCAGACACCGCCCCATCCTCTCTCCTGGCCACCAGCCTGACCTCCCGCTGACCCTCCGGGGTGGGGGCCCTCCGGACCCAGCCGCGCCCCCCAACCTACCCACCCCCTGGCCCGCATTCCGCGCCGGCCACGTGGGTGGCCCCGCCCTGCCCGCTCCTTCCGGCCGCCCCACTCACCGGGCGCGGGGTCTCCGGAGCCCACGGAGCCCACGAAGCCCACGGCCCAGGCCAGGGCCCCCCAGGGCAGCGGCCACAGCGGCGCCCCGGGACGCATGGCGCAGGCGGACGCGGCGGCGGGCAGGCGGGCGCAGGCCGGGCGCTCCCCTATAAAGTCCCGCTGGCCGCGGGCGGGCGGGGCGGCGGGCGGGGCGGCGGCGGCGGGCGGGGTCGGCGCTGAGCAGGGGCAGGGCCTGGCCCCAGGGCCGCCCCCGGGGGGTCCCCACCTGCAGGTCCCTGCAGGTACCCGGCCAGGTGTGGCTGGAGAGCAGGGGGGGCCCGGGTGGAAGTTCGGGGTCGCCCTTTGCATTTGGGGGCTCGTTACCCCCAAGAGCTAGCTGTGACCCCGGGGGGGGGGGGAGGGGGGAGGAGGGTGGTGTCCTCCAGTCGGGGGAACCAGGTGCAGGTTTGCCCGTGGCACCTGTGTGCCCGCGTGTGGCCCTGGCTGGGTTCGAGGTGGTGGGGTGTCGGGGCTGGAGCAATAGCACGGCGGGGAGGGCGTTTTTGCCTTGCACGCGGCGGACCCGGGTTCGATTCCCAGCATCCCATAGGGTCCCCCCCGGGGCACTGCCAGGAGTAAGTCCTGAGTGCAGGGCCAGGAGCAATCCCTGAGCATCGCGGGGTGTGACCCAAAGAGCAAAAAATAAAAGGTGGGTGTCAGCCAGGCCAACGGGGAAGGCGCCGGCCGACCCCGCAGCTGACCCAGGCTCCAGCCGGGACATCCTCTCTGGTCCCCTGAGCACCACCAGGCGTGATTCCTGAGTGCAGAGCCAGGAGCCAATCCTGAGCATCACCAGGTACAGTCCCCAAACATAAGATACCAGTCACCCCCAAGATATCCAGACAGGCGTAACCGTGCCCTGAATTTCCAACGCCCTTGTATGATGGCAGCCCCGGACACTTACGGGAACCCTCTGCCAACGAGGCCCCCAACCCCAGAATACACAATGCTGAACCTCTGAGCCTTGGAACTTTTGGGGGGGAAGGGCTTCTTTTGGGGCCACACCTGGCTGTGTGCTTAGGGCTTACTCCTGGCTCTGTGCTCAGGGATCACTCCTGGCAGGACTCCAAGTGTCTATATGGGATTCCAGGGATTGACCGCGGGTCAGCCACATGCATGCCCGGCACCCTCCTCACTGTGCTATTGCTCCCAGCAGGTTTCTCCTTTGGCTTGAAACTGGTTCCTCAGTTTCTCAGTCCTCAGCTGCTCTGAAAAATCCCTAACCCCTGAGCAGGACTAAGCCCTGAGCACTGCCGGGGTGACCCATAAAGCCAACAGAAAAAATATATTAAAATTAAAAATGAGGGGCTGGGGGCTGGAGTGATAGCACAGCGGGTAGGGCGTTTGCCTTGCACACGGCCGACCAGGGTTCGATTCCCAGCATCCCATATGGTCCTCCAAGCACGGCCAGGAGTAATTCTTGAGTGCATGAACCAGGAGTAACCCCTGTGCATCGCTGGGTGTGACCAAAAAAGCAAAACAAAGAAAAAAAAAAGAGGGGCTGGAGAGATTGCACAGCGGGTAGGGCATTTGCCTTGCACGCGGCCAACACAGGTTCGATTCTCAGCATCATATAAGGTCCCCTGAGCACTGCCAGGAGTAAGCCCTGAGCATTGCCAGGTGTGACCCACCCCGACAAAAGACAGGAAAAAAAAAGTTTGTGAGACGTCTTAGGGCTGGAGCGATAGCATAGTGGGTAGGGCATTTTCCTTGCATGCGGTCGACCCGGGTTCGATTCCCAGCACCCCATATGGTCCTCTGAGCACTGCCAGGAGTATGATGGCACATAGGGCAAAGCATCTCCGAGCTCCTGCCAGAAGCTCACCCCTGCTCTTTGCGGGAAGGGCTCTTGAGGGTCACAGTGCCCCAATGTTGCTTTTGCATTTTCAGGCCACAGGCCTCTCAGACAGCCCACACACACACACACACACACACACACACACACACACACACACTCCTGCCAGTGCATAGCAAGGACAGCAATGGAACACAGCTGCAAAGAAAGATTGGGGTTCAGGCTGGAGTGATAGCACAGCAGGTAGGGCATTTGTCTTGACGCGGCTGACCTGGGTTCGATTCCCAGCATCCCATATGGTCCCCTGAGCACCGCCAGGAGTAAGTCCTGAGTGCAGAGCCAGGAGTAACCCCTGTGCAATGCCGGGTGTGACCCAAAAAAGGAAAATATATATATATATATAGAAAGATTGGGGTTTTCAGAAGAATCCTATAGGATGAGGAGCAGGAGGAGAGAGGGTGCAGTGGCCCAAGTGCGGGCCTTTTATGCGTACCCCAAAACAAAAATGAGGAGCCAGAATGACAGGACAGCAGGGAAGGCGTTTGCCTTGCATGTGGCCGACCTGCCATCCCATGGGGTCCCCATCTCCTGCCAGGAATGATGCCTGAGTGCAGAGCCAGGGATTAGCCCTGGGTACCGCTGCCAGGTGGGGGCTGATTGCCTGTGCCCCAGACACCCCCATTCCTGCAGGCTCACAGTAGATGCAAAAGTGGGTGCCCTGCCCACCCTCCCGGCTCCTTCCCTCACTGCCCAGCCTGAGTCCTCTAGCCTGTGACCCAGAGCGGCCCATGGTCATGTCCAGCCACTGTCTTGACCTGTCCTTGGCCTCCCTCTGCCAGTCCAAGGGGGATTCTCCCCTGGCCGGACCCTGGCAGGAAAGGGGCACTATGTGTCACCAAGGGCGAGTGGGGGCTGGACGGGGCGCCCTTGGCCGATCCCTGACCCTGCTGGTGTGGCCCGGCCTGGACTCCAGGCAAATCAAAACCTCCTTGTCAGCCTGTGTGGGTCCCCAGGCCGGCTGCCAGCCGCCTCCTGGCCAGTCTCCCCAGCCCAGAGGTCACGCCCTGGGTCGCCCTCAGCAAGACACGCAGCCGCTTTGGGACGGCTGCTCCTCCCTCTTCTCCACCTCATTCCTGCTGTCTTTCCCACCCCCTGCTAGAACCCCCCAGTCTGAGCCTCACCCCTGCATCCCTGGATTTCTCTCCAGGCTCCACACCCCTCCCCCCTCCCTCCATAACGCAGACTAGCTTTTCTACCCCTGACAGTACAGAACGTTTCAGAACTGTGGAAGGGGGTGCACGAGAGAGAGTTTCATACAGACTTGGGGTGAGGAGGGGGATGGGGGTGAGGGAAGCAGGGTGAGGCCTGAGGGAGGGGGCGTCTGTACTACATTGCATCCATTCGGACGCAAAGTGGTTGCTGAGGGCAGGAGTGATGGTTCAGAAGAGAGGGCATTGGCCTTGCATGCGGCCGACTCGGGTCCGATCCCTGACACCCCAGAGGCTCCCCCAAGCCCTGCCAAGCCGTGCTCCCTGAGCACATGCCAAGAGTCAACATTGAGCACTGCCAGGTGTGCCCACCCAAACAAAAACAAAATAAAATTGGTTGCTGAAGGCCCTAGACATAATACAAAGAATAACAGTCTTCTCCTGGGGGCTGGAGCCATAGCACAGCGGGTAGGGCGTTTGCCTTGCACACAGCCAACCCAGGTTCGATTCCCAGCATCCCATATGGTCTCCTGAGCACTGCCAGGAGTACATGAGCCAGGAGTAACTCCTGTGCATCTCTGGGTGTGACCCCCCAAAAAAATTCTTCCCTGGCAGTGGCTGACCCGAGTTCGATCTCTGGCTTTGTATAGGGTCCCCTGAACACCACCCCGAGCACCACCAGGAGTGATTCCCGAGCACTTGAATTAAGCACAATCTCCTCCTCCACCAAAAAAAAAGGGGGGGGAGTGTTGTTGAATACAACCCATTTGGATATTCAACCCTGATACCCCAAACCCTGGGGTCATGCCCCCTTTCATGACAAAGGGGTCAGGTTGGGAGGCTGTGTGTGGAGACTCTCTCTGAGGTGCTCAGAGGATCAGAGGACACATAATGCCTGTCCGGAACTCTAAACCATCAACCTGGCCCTAGGGTTGGTTGGTTGGTTAGTTTGGGGTCTCCCAACCTGGCTGTGCTCAGGGTATCCTCCTGCCTCTGTGCTCGGGCATAACTCATGGCTGGGCTCTGGGGACCACATGGGGTGCCAGGTATCAAATCTGGGACAGCCACTCCCTGCCTGCTATATTATCTTATTATCTCCCCAGATTTGCCAGATGGGATTCATTTAAAGGCTCTCGGGGGGGGGGGGGGGCTGGAGCAATTGCATAGCAGGTAGGGTGTTTGCCTTGCACACGGCCGACCTGGGTTCGATTCCCAACTTCCCATAGGGTCCCCCGAGCACTGCCAGGAGTAATTCCTGAGTGCAGAGCCGGGAGTAACCCCTGTGCATCGCTGGGTGTGACCCAAAAAGAAAAAATAAATAAAAAAAAAATAAAGGCTCTCAGGCTGGAGAACAAACTTGGGATTGTGCAGATGCCCAGGGGTGCCCCGGACCCTTCAAGGCCCGAATATGCCCGAATATGCCCAAGCCCGGAGACCTTGACCCGCGGCAGCTGGCTTGGAAGCTGCCAGAGGAAGGGGCCTTCAGCCAAGGAATGTGGGCGGCCTCAGAGGTTGGAAAAAGTACAGAGCCGAGTCCCCGCCAGGAGCCTCAGGAAAGAAACTCAACTCATGACGCTGCTCTGCGGTACCTTGATTTTTGCTCCAGTCTGGCTCCAACTTGCAATTTCCAGAACTATCCAGTGGTGGTGGGTGGGTGGGGGGTGGGGGGGGAGATGAACCAGAGAGATAGAAGAGAGGTGAAGGCATTTGCCTTGCATGCGGCTCATCCAGTTCCATCCCCAGCACCCCATAGGGGCCCCAGAGCCCTGACAGGAGTGATCCCTGAATACAAAACTAGGAGTCCGCCCTGAGCACTGACTAGTGTGGTGCCCCTCCCCTCAAAAAAAGGAAAATCAGGGGCTGGAGCAATAGCACAGCGGGTAGGGCATTTGCCTTGCATGCGGCCAACTCGGGTTCGATTCCTAGCATCCCATATGGTCCCCTGAGCACTGCCAGGAGTAATTCCTGAGTGCAGAACCAGGAGTAACCCCTGTGCATCGCCGGGTGTGACCCAAAAAGCAAATAAAACAAAACAACAACAAAAAAAAGACAAACAAAAAACAACCCTTAAAAAAAATCAGACGATGCTAGGAGTGAACTTCAACCTTTGCCCAGTCAGCGACTGGCAT